TGCGCTGCCGTTTAAAAACTAAAATATAATAGTAAGAGGGTCTGTTTAATTGGCGACATTTTATAATTATTTCATCCATCGGTCCCCGTTATGTGAGGTTCTTTAGGTCTGACGAAAGCCTTCTCTGAGCATGCAGTGAAGAGAAGAAATACCCTGACGTCTCTGTCGGGAATTGAACGCCTGACTCCGTTCTGTGGTCCGTTACTTTACTGATAGATATCACAGGTCCTCTTACGCGATGTTCAGATATTTTAATCGCCTCTAGGTACGTTACAATTGCTTTTATGTGATTAAAGACGACGCGATGTCACATCTTCAGTGTTTTATTCTCTGAAACACTTTCACTTGTCAAATATTGTTAAATTTTGGCCATTAAATTTCAAATTATTAGAGAAAGGAGTTGAAAGTGCACGTTTGTGGTTTTGTTTTTCATGTGCAACGTAAGACATGATCTGCGCAGCCTCCACGCAGGAGAGGGGTGAAGGTAGGCGTCGTACTATGGCGTAAGTATGAGTGGAGGGAGGGAGATGCTATTGAGCGGGCGTCGAGACGTCACGTGACTGCGACACGCGGAGATCGATGTAGGCTCGACGTTTCGACAGACAGTGGACCGCAGACCACATTGAGTTGAAATTAAAAAGCAGAAGTAACGATGAATTTTTAGCATTGCATTTACGTCCTTTCTTAAACGGTACATAAAATTAATTCCGCGGAGCAGAGTCACTCTTGAGAGGCTGACAGTCGCTCAGCTAGTCAATATTTATGGAACCCAAAGATATATCCCCGTCTTCAGAATAGTTCACCTTTGGATTCTGTCCTGAGACACACGAATCCAGTCCTCGCCCTCACATCCAGTTTAATATTATTCTCCCGTCTACGCTCACGTCTTTCAAGTGGTGTCATTCTTTCGGACGTTTCGATTGAAACGAATTCATTTCTCATCTGTAGCATATTTGTTATATTTTTGCATACAGAAACGTAACTGAACAACCATCTGTTAGTTCAGTGCTACCTTTGTCCCATGTAACCTCCTATACTTCCAGTAAAACTAAATTTCTAATTTACTCATGCTGTTTTTACTGATTTAAATGTTCTGGGGTTAGAAGTTCCAAATCCTATGTCCTGTTTACCTTCACAGGTAGTCCGGCTGGAGAGAGTTCGTAAGCGAGTAGTTATTTCCCATTAGTACAAATATATAACTGGGGTTACGTTTCCGAACGAAAGAAAAATGGCAAAACAAATTATAAATCAACAATTTTGTTGCCTAAAATAAAAGATGTGACTGAAGCAACTAAAACATGTTTTATTAATTCATATGTCATAAAATGCACAACAAAGCAGAGCGTAAGGCGAAATAACTCATCTACGTCTCCCCGTTTCACAGACTGACTGGGCGACGTTGCGGCCTATGTTTGCATTTTCGTCAGCACATGTTCGATTTTTTTCGGAAGATTTCGGATAAGCAATTTGCGTTCGGATGACGAGCCAAACGGAGGTATGATTTTAAGACTAAGAATAGAAGACTTTTTTTTATCAAAGTGTTAGCCGGGATAACACGGTTAACATGAACGCTCCGCCTCTCTTGTAGACTTCCCATTTTATAAGAATTTTATACGCAAAGCTGTTTGTTCAAACAAATACATTTTGACCGTTTGTCGTAAAATACAGCAGAAAATATATTCCATTATTTCGTGCTGTAAGACAAGGCCCATAAAACACGATACAGAAAATACTTTATAGCATTTAAATTACATCCTACGTATAAACTCAGCAAAGCTTCGATGTTAGAACTTCCCGTGAAAAGTCATAATGAATTTTAATCTAGTTATGGGGATGTTGTCATCTGTAAATTCTGATGTTCGAGAAAAAGTTATACAATGTAAGATTTGATTTTTTCACAGCGGTGTTAACCAACATTGGTTAACATCGACCAGACTACACAGCGCAACAACCCAAAAGACAGAAATCTTCAAAAGTTATACACTTTGTAATTCTTTGTTTAGATTTTAACAACATAAAACAAGAATTATTTATGTTGATTATTAATTTTCTGTCTTAATAACGTGCGAAAATGACAAAGGTTCTTTTCTATTATAAAAGGTAATGAGTCGTTTTAAGTTTGCCACGTTCGCTTTTCATCAACGTCTTGAAACGGTATGTGCTCCTTGCATTAGAAGGGAAGTTCTGGGTACAACTGTTGATCTCTGTTTTCCTTCATATGTCTCATCTGTATTGTGGAGCTAGCAGGCACTACATTTTACAATCATTATTTATTAATGTGTATATAATAACAACTTTTGCTGAAGGCAAATTCATTGAAGCGCTGACTTCATACTAAAAGCTGGACACAGTCAATATCATCGGACTTTTTATTATCTGCACAACTGGTAACGCGCAAATCACTTTTGTTTACCTTTGTATCTACATAAGATATGAACCCAGAAGCGCAGAATTTTTTTTATTTCATTCAGGTCAGTTTAGTGCAAAGCAGCGCAGCGCTGCTGCTAATGTGCACCAAACCCCGGAACATTATTTAGCCATGGTGCTGCCAAAGTCCTGGCGTGAATCCAAGCTGTAAGGTCATAGTGGACCTACGTCTCCATAAAAGCGTATTTAATATTTTATTCTTTCACGCAAATTTCTGTCTATTATCTTGAATATCTGTCAGCTATCGGGCTCATGAATGCAGTTTTAACGTTTCTGCTCCTGATTTTCCCTGTCAACATTACGTTTGTATATACACCAACTTGACATTAAGAACACCGATGGATAGAAAATGGTTAAAAAACGCGTTTCGAAATTTGCTGTATTCCAGTTGGGAGTTCACTTTTCAGTTACATTAGTTACCTATCATTCTTCGTTTAATTCATCTCCCAGAACGTTTCTGATGCATGTGGCCTAGGGTCAAAGCCAGAGGATAGGGAGGAGGAAGATGGTCTTTACGTCGCTTCGGCGCCAATGCTGCAGCTAGTTACTGCGTCACAGCGTCGCTGTCAGTATCTAATCATTGCGAGAGCCCAATCATCAGACGTTTGTCCACGATGAATTCGCAAACTAACTGAGAGATAAAAACACGAAAAGAAACGCAGACCTTTTATCAATGCAAAGACGTTTTCAGCCCTTCTCATTTTATTTCCTGTAGATCTAGACAGAGAGGCCTTTTAATTACTTTTCAAACAGTTTTGTCTAGTTCCTTAGTGTACCGTCTTCAATTAGACTGTCTCCTAGAAGGAGTACGTTTCTAACGAAGTAAAATAGAAGACTTTGAAGAAAACAGGGCAAGAAATCCGAACTGCTTCTGTAACTAACTAGAGACATCATCACATGCAGAGCTGCCCTCTTAATTATTTTGATCTATCTTAGCTGCTGTATCTGTAAATACACTTTCAATAAACATGACAAGAAATACTTTTTAATGCATCATCGCTATTTGTAGTTCTCATCCTTTCGCTGCCTATTATGTCATACGTATTGAGGCAAATCTAATGAATTATCTTAATAATAATAATCATAAAAAGTATTTCTCTAAGTTTACGTAGTAATGTCTAAAACAAGTTTTGTAAAGAAAACTTCATTAGGTCTCCAGTAAAGTGGCAAACCTACAGGCGCGAAAGTAAAAAAATCACTCTTATATTTTAAAGAAATTTATTAACGTAAAAACCACCTGACACGACTTTACATAAGACGTTTCACTCATTCACATCGCTTAAAATCCCTACACTGACCTCTCATATTTGGATTTATTGAACATAGGTCATGTTCTATTTATGTGTCGCTGTTTCATAACTAATACGTTTCGACTAATCCTATTACTGCAAAGTGGATGCCTAATTCGAAATCTTATACCAGTTACTCTCCAAACTAAGTGAGTTTAACTTCATGAAGTAGGATTTGAGGTTGATTCAAAGATGGCTGTCTCCTGGTTTGTAGCACCGTGAAGTCTGGTAGTACTAACGTTTCAGAGGTCCTTGCTGCCTCCCATAATCATCGTCCCTACAAGCTCTTATAGTAGCTTTCCTGCCTTTCGTATTTTCACGTGAATTCTATGAAATGCTAAAATAGCACGAGATATATTATGATACACAATGGAGAACAGTAATGAGATAAAATTTGTTGGTGTTGATGAAAATTAATGACAGGTATGAAATGATGGTGGAATTGATAAATAGTTCAGTCCTACCAAAATGGCGAGAGACCTACAGACAATGTTGCTACCTACAGCCAATGTCGATAACGAAGTATTCAGAACATTCTTGTATAATACGTGGATCGTACAGAAGTTTTAGATTCCTACAGGACTACTTTATATTAATATATAATCTTACTAACTGATACTGCGTCATTAAACATAAATAAGTGAGATCTGAAGTTCTCACGGCGGCGAATGTGAAGTTGGCTGTCTTCTGGGCTGTTGCGCCGTGTAGTCTGGTAGAAGTTTACACCATCCTTCTAGTAGCCAGTAACTTTACTGGCTACGTAATTCATTTCTGTAATCAAAATATTTTTGTGATATGTATGTCAAAATGTCACTATAGAAAAGTTTAAACAATAACAAAATGCTTTCAGGAATACATTGTAAGACAAGAATGGTGTACACATATTTTTAAATGTATTATTTATATAAGATTTGAGGTTTTCACAGCGGTGAATATGAAGATTTCTGTCTTCTGGGTTGTTGCGCTGTGTAGTCTGGTCGATGCTAACCAACGTTTCAGAGGTCATACTGCCTCCGTCATCAGGGCGACGGGGGCAGTAGGACCTCTGAAACGTTGGTTAACATCGACCAGACTACACAGCGCAACAACCCAGAAGACAGAAATCTTCGTATTATTTATATTTTTACATCGATTGTTGGTTTAGATGTTCATTTATTCTGTATTGATTGCTGCTAGAATTAAACTGCACGTAACTACTTGTGTTGTTGCAGCCTAAAACTGTCGACCGTACGAACATTTCAGCATATTGTTGAACTTTATAACTCTGTACTTTTTGTGTTGCAGCCCCATGGTCGACTGTATGAGAGTTTCAGTGTGTTCTGCCCATGCGACCAACTCGATGACTTACAATTGGTTGAAGAGGAGGATGTGCTTATTGACTGGAGTCACCCCATATATCTCAACTTCACTCATCATCTCATTTTGGACCATCTAGAGAATTTCTACACGGCATCCACAGGCACCATAGACAAGGTGTGTGGTGACATCTATGTGTGCGCCAATCCACCTGCAGACATCCAACTCGAAGAGTGAGTATCAAGGATGCATTGATTGCTTTCATTGCATCTTTTTACAGAGGAAGTCAACACAATTTTGCAGGATCTTATCTTCTTCATCTATGGCTCTCCGGTCCGTATTCGGTCCATGGCCTCCTCAATTCTCCTCTTCCATTCGGTCCTCTGTTAGGTCCATATGTCCGAGGCTTTGATTGAGGTTTCGAAACATCTTCCTTTTTACAGTGCAAGGTTGTTAGCCTTGCGACCAACCCCCAACCTGGAGGACCAGGGTATCTGTCTTAGTCTGACCTCTCCCCCTCGACCAATCTGGCTAGGGAGGCCCTACCAGTAGATCTTGGGGTCACTGAGGTACTCAAGTCCCACCACCACGACAAGGTGCAGGTGCCATGCAGGATCTTATGTTCTCTCAAATGTAAAATCTCTAAGAAGTGTCAATTGGGTTAACAGAGCAGCAGTTTATGTGACTTGCCTTCAGGAGGTACCTTTGTTGAATTCCAGTGATGGGTTTGTTATTCTGATAAAAGATTTTTATGTATGTATACATAATAAAATGAATTACTCAGTGACAAGCAAATGAGAATGATTTGCCTCATCTTATTTTAATAATATATTATGCTGTATTATAGACTACCTCCAGATGGGGCAGAAATGCTGCAGCTGAAACCGGAACATGCCAAAACAATTCACGACTTGTATCCTGCCAACGACATGGAATCTGTGGAGGTGTTTGAGAAGCTGATCAATGTGTTGCCAGCGTATGGTATCTTCTCATCAGGTGAGCTAGCTGCTTGGATGGTCCAGTCATACTATGGCGCAATGTTCTCCATGCAGACAAGACCAGAGTTTCGGCGCAAGGGTTATGGAATCCACCTTGCGCAATATCTCACAAAGGTAGTAATTTCACGAGGCTACATCCCATTTGTGGTGATCCGGCCAGAAAATGATGCATCACTAAGCCTGTATAGTAAACTGGGCTTTAAGAAACATTATCAGACAGTCCGTGCGATTCTGCGACCGCACGGTTACGATGATGCCAATGACACACCTGGAGGTGGTGGAAATCATGATGGAGATAACAATGATAATGCTGCCCCCACAGATGACTGAATGCCTAATCATTTGGTCAAGTGAAACTCAGCATTGTGCACACTGAAATGAAGAGATGAGTATTGCCAAGTCCCCTTCACCTTCTCTCTTGCTTCCACCACTGCATTTACTTGAGATACTAAGAATGTATTCAGTTCATTCCACATGTCCTGTTATAGGCCTGGGGCCTAATTTTATTCATACTAACATTATGGTTCACTCTGGTAATTTTAAATGATGCACTTTTTATGAATAAACTGCAGTAAAAAATTACTGCTATTCTGTGATAATAGCTAATTGTTAAATGTGTATTGACAAAAATCAATCACTTAGTTTAATAGAATATTGGTCTAATTTTAAAAAAAATGCTAGTTTTTATATTACATTACAATTTGTTGCAAATTCCTTTGTTGAATTTTAAGAATTCTAGAATTTGGCATGCACTTGCAGAAAGCATTTGAACACAAGTGCCATAGTGTAATAATACATATAAGTGGTCTGTACTGGGTACAGATGATTGCCAGCAGTGACAAGCTGACAGTGGAGTAGAGGAGTCTAAATTCAGTGATAAAAGTCACTTCATAATTACCAGAGTTGACCATGTTACCTTGTGCAGGTAAACCCAGGTGACTTCAAGTGCACAGATGTGCATTTCTAATAAAATAAAAATTATTATTGTTTGACATTACACTTATGTTCCTGAGTGAATAACATTTAACTAGCAGTAAAAGTTAAAATTAACTATTTGAGGTAAAGAAAAGTCCTTCATATAAAAATACAAAGGTTGTTACGCATAAGCCCACTGTCATTAGTACTTTGTCAACTACATTCAGTTGCTGGTAATTTGCTCCATCTCTGTAGTTCTCACTCCACTGGCAATTCCAAGTAAGAAAAGCAGCCACATATGTTTTGGAAACTTCACAAGCACTAAAAATCTTATTTTAATAACTGTTTATTTTGTATTACTTGAGCTTGTACTCTTTTTTTCAAACTTTTGACACAGTTTTCAATAGATTATAATTATTGCTCGTCAATTTCTCTGCAGAAATAATTGGTGTGGCCTTAGGGTAACTAGACATTTTATTCAGTCAGGACATACTTGATTGTAGTGCTTACTGCTTTCTTACATTTTACAAATATCTGCCTGATTAAATACCATATTTATGTAATTCTCAGTAGCCAGCAAGGCTGAAGCAATAAGACTGTAACAAAGATTATGCATGTGTTTAACCATGTAATTCAGCAAAAGTACCAAAAGTAAAGGCTTTCCTTCCCCCCTTCCACGACATAAATTTGTATCCAGGTCATCCCATTGGGTGAAGAACTGTATACAATTTTATTTATTATTTATTATCATTCTGACATTGTAACATAATCTTCAAAACAATCAGAATTGTAAACAAATTATTAATTTTCAACACTTCTTAGAGTGTTCAGTATCTTTGTAGCGAAGAGTTTTTAGTTGTGTCACTTTACTCTGTAAGTCATTATTCACACACTTTTATAATTTGTATAAATTCCTCCAGTATCAGTCTAGACATAGTATTATATACGTTTACATATGCAATCTCAACACCAAAGTTTCTTTACTTGAATGATAAGAAACCACAAAGTACTATAAGTACTCACATGTTAAATGAAAATATTTCTCCGCAAGTTTCCAGAATTATCATAAAATTTATGTTTGTTTTAACTGTCACTTTCATAAAAACTGTATTCTACATGCGACCATCTATTGTTTTCATGTGTCAACATAGTTATTGCGCTCGAATTAAAAACCAAGATTTACTTTTATGCTCAGTTTAGTTCAAAATTGATACCAAATGTTGTTTAATAATTTATACTACAATAAAATTACTTGTATTTTAATAATCGTTACTACAAACAAAACACAGGTCTAGCAATAAAAGTAAATCTTTGCTTTTAATATGAGTGCAACAACCACATAAATATAATGAACCAGAAGATGGCCACATTCAGTATAATAAACACTTTGAAAGTGGTAAACAGTATGTGTGTGAAAGTGACAGTTAAAACAAATGTAAGGTATCTAAAGAGTAAATCTCTGGGATGCTGCATTATAGATTTCAAAACTATTTTTGGGTTCCTAAATAACATACTGTCTTATGCAGTTCAAGTATGGATATCAATAACACACATCAACTGGCCATGAAACTCAGTATTACCATCATGCCTCTCCTCATTTTTGTACCAAGATGATTTCTGTGTGGAACTTATGAGGTGACCAACAGTGGCACCATTCATGGCATGGTCCTTCAGTTCTCTATGGCAATAAAAGCTTAGAAAAGTGTGCAACTTTTACATCAGAAGGCAGTGATTATTACATGTGATAAATTTCTACTGGGAATGGCAGCGGTAATGGAAAAGTTATTCATATCTTTATTATAATAAAGAATTTAATTAAATTTTATTATATACTGTCAACAAATTGTATCAGAAGACTAGAGTGTGTTGCTATTAAGGTCAGAACTTTATCATGTTTGTTATGATAGGTACAAGAGCAGAAAAAGAGGGAAGTTTCACACACTAAAGTGGTGAGACCAATGCCTAACAAAGAACATTTGTATGTGGCAGAATTAATAACTGTCCTGGCCTACAACAGAATTTTTCACTCCACTCAGACATTCCAATTAAAATTAACTCATATATTTTCTTAACATTAACATCTGTATTACTGTATTAACATTATCATACTGTACTATGAAAACATTAAGATTACATCTTATTGAATGAGTAACATAAATAGATTGGAATTTTGTAAATTGTTTGGTTATGAATGTGTTGCCTTCTGTACATACTGTTCACTGTTTCATTGTTGGTTACATGTTTAAACACTGCTGATAGAATGTTAGTCCAGTACATTGAGAAGTTTGTTATATCTCATGTACTCTCAGTTCTTGTTATGACAAAGAAAGCTGACACTGTCTTGTCTCTGATTCTGGTATGTGTATATATACAATTTCAAACCAAGTAGCACTATGCTGCATTATGCTAATTTAATCAGTAGCTCAACTTCTCTTCTTCTCTTTTGTTTATTTACATGTACATATGCAGAAAAATACTAACAAATGTTATGTTGCTTGTATCTGTTTGGGATGGTGGGGTAGTCTGCTACCACTGTCTTGCTCAATGAACCAAGAATTATACTGTAAGAAATCCTGCCCTCCTCACAACTAAATTTACTTGGTGGTATCTTCATTCATAATAGATCACTATGTCAACTTTAATTGCACTAACATGTAAAGCACAGTAGCAGTTACGACACAATTCGAGCCCAGTGGAGGGAGAGAAGGTTCAGACCATTGTCTAGCAATGGTCAATGTATGGCTTCATTCCATGCAAGAAAACAACATTGTGTTTATTACACTTCCACTTCTAGAAGCCTTCCATTTTAAAATATCTCTGTTAGAGAGATAAATTGTTGAACAGGGCAGGGCATTCCCAGAAATCATAATAAAAATACAAAATCTGTGTAGACAGGTTAAAATGTTCTTACAGAACAAAAGAAAATCTATTAAGGGTGCCCTGTATCTTTTACTGTAGAAGATTAAAAGCACTGGTATGATTTAATACAGAAATTCAAGCATTTACTCTTAAATCTATCTCCAGTTGGGTCCACCAGATAAAGCTAGTCTTGATAGTGATGGACCCAACTGAGTGGGTACCTCTCACCAGAAGATGGAAACAGAGCCAGCTTCCAAAATGTTGTGGTTTCTTCTTTTAAACAGGGAATAATTTTAAATTATAATCAGTGTTTCGGACAGAATACTATTACAGTATTAAGGAAAACAAGGCTTAGCTCTATGATGCATTTAAGTGATTAATCCCTTATTTATGTGACTCATGACCCTCACCAAATATGAAGTTCATAGGTGCATAATCATTTCTTATTTATAAAACTAAGATGGAAATTTTTAGTACAAATACACAATTCAAAAAAGGGAAAGCTAATACAATTTTGTCTCTTAAAATAAGATATTGTGTTGAATTATGTGATTCACTTCCATTTGGAACAAAATTAATTATTATATATTTGAAGCTGTGTATCTTTTCCTTTTTGTACCTTTCTTTAAACAAATAGAAACACAAGCCAGACCCATGAACTTTACAAGTTTACTTGCCTACTGTGTCTGAAACGTTGTTGTTTATATTATAATTTAATGATACAGTAAGGGATCCTGAATTATAATTCATTTCCTACAATGGAAGCCATAAAACACTGGTTGAAAAATACATATCTAGACAATGAAATACTTAACTAGCAGCTTTTGCTTGCACCAGCTTTCCAACTTGATAGGCATTATATGGCGTCAGCCACACTGTGACAGATATTTATCATAACACATACCAAAGGGATATAACTAACAGATTTAGTACTGCAAACTTGATATTTATAAATCTTACTACGAGTCATTGAGAAATAAATATTACCATTTAAAGAAGTACTTAAAATCAAAATTATTAATCCGTAAGTTAGTGTTCCTTTTAACAAAATACAAAATCAAAATCTGAATTACAAGTATAATACTTTATTCTCAAAGGCACTTGATTAGTGAGATCAACATGTAAATTTTATGAAAATAGAACATTCTGCCACTACAATATGGTAAGTATATTAGTATTGAACAATTTTAATTTTGTTTAAAGTTTACCTAATACTTTTAAGTCCTGTTTGACTAGCTGTTGGGACAACATAAAATTTAAAACAAATCATTCTGTTTGTGCTATCTGATTCAACCAAGTAAACCATACTAAATAATAGCTGAATTTCTGACTTAAACACAGCCAGTCTTTGTATTTAAGTGGTAGTCTAAATATTTACTATGCACCCTACAGTGCAATTCTGCATCATAAAAATTATTAAAAAAAACAAATAAATACAGAAGCAGCCATGCCTAAGTCAAAATATTTATCATAAATCTTATTACTATTATTCCACACTACTTTCTCTCCAGTCCTTGATATGTGATCAGATAGGTAGCGTGTGCACTGAGGTAAGGCAAGGAAGCAAGGGCATGGTGCGCACTCTGCGGGGGGAGTGAGTTACATATGAATGCAGGCTGGTGTTCATGTTCAGCTTCAAAATTATTAAACCTGTGGCTGTGTGGCTGTGAAACTTGCATGTGGTGAGTGGTATGATAATTTTAAAACTATACTCATCATTCCAAAAGGCATTAGGTCTACTCCAAGTCTACCTGCTGCAGTT